TCTGCCATTACTTTTATTGCCACACCAATCGGAGTTGCCCGTGTTGGTTACGTCAATCGGGGAATCACACCATTCTGCACCTTCTCCCCCCTACGGCCTTCAACCCTCCCTTACCTTATCCGTACAGTGGAACAAACCATTTCATAAGAACTGTCTCACCATCGACATCAAACATTGCTTCAGGTATGCTCATTCCTCCCGTATTTTCAGTAGACCGTACAACCAGCTTTCGGATTTCTTCGATAGATTCACTTGCATATGAGAATAATGAATAATCTAGCGTTCTCATTCTCATCAATCCCACAATAGACGGACTGCTTCCTTTTGACGCCATTAATCGAAATAGGGACAAAAGTGTTGCAGCGGGAACGAATCAGTTAAGTGGAATAAGGTGACCAATTTCACCACGGATTCACGTTTTAGTTGTTTTCAGATTAGCATTTGGACACAAACATTTGAAATTTCCAGGTGAAATGATGGACTCACTTCTGTGGTGTCCACAATAAAATTATGCCCAAATCCGGATTCGAAAACAATTTCGTCGTAGGTGAACTGCTTGTATTTGAGTATGGTTCGGGTTGAGCTCTATTTGACAGTCAGATTTACTCTTTAACAAGTTGCATTTCCATTGAAGGCACACCTGAATGTGACCAAATTTCCCAAAAGCATGACACGGAGCATCGCTGAATCGACAGTTGGACAGTAGATCGAATTCAACGCACGATATATATCAATCAATATTCGTGCTTGTAGGTTTCTGGTCAGGGTTCTTTGTGTTCTAAATATCAAAATATTTATGCTAACTTGAAGGCCTAACCATTAAAACAAGGAAATTGGCTCACAGATTGAATATGTTTTGCTCCCAACTACAGGTTTGCAACCCTATCCACTTGTACATTGTCTATCACCGTCCTCCTCTTCCACCCTTTGATTCGTGTTCATTTCCGTGTTACGTCTAAGCTAAACCAGTAAACATATTGACCGGGTCGATTGTCGTCCTAGCACCATGATTTCGATGGACTGAATTTCTCTCTTTCTCTCTCCCCCATCTGACGCGAACACATAAACACCTACGCACACAACTATCAATACAATATTGTACGACACAGTCAAAAAAGGAACACGAGAAAGAAGACCGAATTGACCAAACAAATACAGGATGTATCCTGCATCCAAACGAGTGCTTGAAAACCACTTTGATCTGCATCGGTTAGGTCAAACCGACGAAACCTACATGCAGCATTACGGATACTACGCCTCTTTGGAATATCGATCGATCACGAACCCAGATCAAGGTGAAGATTGCCGGCTCTGTGACGGCGTACGGCAATGACCGATGGACAAGAAAACACTGGGATGTCCTGAGGTCGGTGTAAAAATTGGGACCAACGAAAAGTCCAAGTTGATATGACCAACTATTTAGAGAAACAACGATTCCGATTCGATTTCGCAGTTTTATGTCGCATCAAACGACGAAATAATCTATCGATTCTCGATCAAACTGTTGGATGATTGTATTTTCGATGGTCTTATAATCACTGGTCTTCTCTGTGATTAAAATAGGTACGTTTAGCGATCCAAGCATATAGGATAACGCCACTCACGGAGAGATGAATTACAGTTTCCGAACAACGAACCACAAACCAATCGTGTCGACCAATCAGAAGTCGTGCGTTTCAAAATAGAAGCTGTATGACGTCAACAATACAAGCGGGCCATTGGCGGAGACCTGTGTAACCAATAAAATTCCTTTGTACATATTATTTAGTCTTATAGATTTCCCTCAGTAAACTAACCGCTACATCTGTGCCCTTTTTTCTCCACCTCGGTGACGGGAGATCTCTGTGCATGATTGCTAGTGCGCCTTTCTGTGCTCCAGCTGTGGCCGTGATTCGT